ATTCAGTCCACTGTATTAGTGGTTTACATCAGCAGGTGCGTGTTTGTTTTTGCGTTTGGAGAGGAGGAGACCTCTGTGGATAATTGGGCTCCCGGTAGAAACCTCCTGAACCATGAACACTGAAGGAATCCTAATTCACGACGAGTAAAATATTCAAACACACAGCTTAAGAAGCAGCAATTACTTAAACTGACCACAAGATGGAGCCGTTCAATGAGGCTCAGATTTACTGTGTGTAGTATTTCATCATTTTATTTTCATTGCTTTCTTTTAACCTCCAATCTTTTGTTGTCATCTTATTTAATGAACAGGTTTTTTGGTGTGTTGACTCTAAATCCTTTTGTTAGACACTTTGCACTCAGCACTTTGCATTGTTACTGTTATTGTTTACACCTCCAGGCAAACGTATTTCCTTATATAAAGAAAGGGGGTGTGGCAGTATATCACTCCTGAGTTTAAAGGTCACGACTATAACTGGCTGCTTTCTGTGCTCTAAAAATCTATTCTGAATGTTACTGCTAGCCAGTGCAGATGTTAAACTGGGTGATAGGGATATAAGTTGGAGATGTGAGGTTGATTTCTGACTCACAGAGAGCTGTGATAGTCACCTGAATATATGTTCTGTGTAAATAAAGGTTTGCACAGACAACGGAGAGAATAATTCATGTTTGTTAGTCGCAGATTTAAAAACTGATCAGCGGACTCACCTTTGGGGATCTTGAACTTGTTGTCCTTCTTGTACCACAGACAGCCTCGGTCCGTGTTGATGACCCTGACGGGAAACTCTGAGTCCGGACAGTCGGCTGTTTTCAGGGTGAAATCCGTCGCTGCGTCACGAAGGAGAAAAACAACAATAAAGAAACAGCTGACCGTGTTGGATTCATGTTTTCAGCTGCTGGTTGTTTCTTTCTGATAAAACATCAACGTTCGTACTGACCGATGAACTTGTTCTCAGCAGGAAGGTGGAGTTCGGGGTTGAGTTTGAAGTCTCCGGTCCAGCGCTGAGCCCACTCCTCTGAGATGTCTGATGAGACAGCGGTGATGTGGTATTGTTTACAACAAATGGAATAAAATATATTGACCAAAATTATATTGTGAATATTATTTTATGTAATTTATAAATTATTAGCGTCTCGTTATCCAGATTGTCCATGTTTTCTCTTTGAGTGAGAGCACTACGTAACATCTGATATTAAATACCGTCGCAACGGTAAAAAGTTTAAATATTTTACTATTTTATGGTCGGCAGTGGCGTCTACCTTTGGCGGTATTCTCTGCCGGTTTCATCTAAGTTTTACTGTCCTCTCATCCACTAACATGACATCCGGTTTGCCGTCTACCAATTGACTGATTCCATTTTTTTTTTTTTTTAAATAAACTCTTAAAAGCTATAACCTGTAACATTTCCTCTTTAAAATGACTGTAAACTCTGGCTCAATGTTCTATATGTGGTTGATTAAATCAATAATCTATAGTCATTAACTAGTCAACAGTGTATAAACTCTGGCTCTGTGTTCTATATGTAGTTGAGTTGTTGTCTTCCATTATTCCAAATGTTTCCAACAATGTGAGAAATCTGTGATTTTATTCAGGTAACGTTTTCTATTCACCTTCAGTTGCTTTAACTTCCAGCAGAAACGTCAAAGTGACTAAAGTTAACTTAAATAAATCACCTCATCCATGAACAGCGTCTCTGTATACGTCACACACATTAAATATTGGGGGGAAAGTGGGAAATCTTCACCAAGCTGCTAAAAGATAAACGTGCTATTAACAGAACTATAAAAAACTGTAAAGGAACTTGTTTGACACAACGCCACCTAGAGGCCTTTTGGGGCGTGTGTGTGTGTGTGTGTGTGTGTGTGTCGTACCCTCGGCCCTGACAGCCGAGCCTCTTGGATACGTCTCTCTGCAGCAGCCCCTCCAGCAGGTCTTTGAGCTCTGCGGTGAACGAGTCTGGCAGCTCCACATTCTGCGAGAGACAACGGGGGAGGGAGAGAGGGGGGAGTGAAAGTGAGAATGGGTTGTTTTAAAATAGATTGACATCATTTGCACCTTTTACTATAGTACAAGAGTTTTCAAAGACGTCTGACACTGTCCCACAGCCCCAGACTAAAAACTGAGAACTGCCCCCCCTCTCCTGTCTTTCATGTTCATGTTGTATCATGAGTTTAATTTTGGACTTTTGTGTCTGTATGTAAATATCTGAGCGGCTGGAGGACAGTGTCTGACAGTCTCAGTAATGTCAGATAGCAATGTCAACACAATACTCTCAACTGCAGCGTCAGCAGACAGTCAACAGTTAGCTGGCTAGTTAACGAGTGGAAAAGATTAGCTAACTAGCTCGCTCATATACATAAATCTAGTCTAAAATGATGTGCATCCCGTGTGAGTTCATTTAGTTATGTAATTTAACTACTTTTGATAGTAACTAGACACATAGCCAACAGGGTTGGGTCAGTTTCCGGTATTCTCGGTGCAAAAGGGACTCAACCAGCATTTGTTTATCGTTTCATTACGAGCCGTTCTGATGATTTTAATTAACTTTCCTGTAAAGAGTCAGAACTGTTTGTTTGTTGTGTCAGATTTGTTTACAACAGACAATTATACATCTCAACCTTTCTGACCCTCAGCTGTGTAAAAACGACACGTTATGAACTTTAAAACAGAAGAATGAGAAATGGTCGTTATCTCATGGGCTGAAAATAAAATCTTCCTAGGAAACGATGCTCCGCTGAGAGTTTGAAAGCACTTTCTGAGCTGTGAGTCGGCCACTCTGACCGCGCTGATAACTACAATAACTAACTTCCTGTTGTTCTTCGTGCACTGTGCCTTCCACCACAGATTGTATCTCTCCCTCGCGGTTCTGCTACAGTACGAGTCAGCCACCGCCCTCTTTATTCTACGTCTTTTGCTTTACGTTCTGTCAGCGGCTCCATAGAGACGTTTCAGAGAGCAGATGTGCCATCTATCGGGATCTGTTCCGCCCGTCCGCCTGTCCATCCCCTTCCTGTCTTGGCTGCTCAGTTCTCAGCCTTTTCACTGCTGTCTGCTCCCATCGTGTTTATGTAATGAGACCATTCATCATGTTTAATAAACACAAAGACATATAGAGCAGTATTTTTAGCCTGCTCGGGGCTGAATCGCAGCCTTTTCCCCCTCTCTCTCTCTCTCCAGCTCTCCCTCTCTCACACACATACACACCCACAGACGAGGATTGAAGGGATAAACCAGATTAAGTGGCTGGATTAAAATCCTAATCTGGATTTATTGTGATATGAAAGATCATGCTTTCTCTGTTTAGAGGTCCTGCTCAGGCAAATAGTGCCTGAGTCTGTGTGTTTGTGTGTGTGGGAGGGAGCAGCCACCCTTCTCAATTGCTTCATGTCCTGACAAAACACATAAATGGACACAGAGATTTGGACGCGTTCCACCGTGATGGACAACTGCTGCTGCTGGCAGGCGGAGTGACGAGGAGCAAAGCTGTGCCGAAAATTCGCTCTACAATTTGTCATCGCGAACTCGTCTGTGCTCAGCGTCGTCGCCTCCGCCGGGCTCTGGCCTGGATGTGAGGAGTGGAGGGGGGAGATAAAGGGTGGGCGAGAGCAGATATGTCACTGGGTGGGCTCAATGGACGCCATTCATCCCCGAGTGTTTGCTGGATCTGACCTGTGACATCAAAAGGCTCAGCAGTGTATTCCTCTAACAGATAATGAGACGTTAAATACACTGCGCTTCCTCTACTCACTGAGCCTCAGGGCTCCTGAAAGGCACACCAGCAGTGTTGTGGTACCTTATAATCAGGGCTGGGTATGAAAAATTTTTTAAAAGTTACAAATCCAGTAACCTGAGTTCTTTGAGAACACACAGATGCTAACTTTTGGTATTTGTTAGTTTAGTCATACTACCATGTCCGACGCAAATTCTCATATTTGAGAAGTCAGTTGTCAGTTCTCTTTTAAACGTTTGTCTCGGTCAGAGGAGTGTGGCAAATGTGTCTTATTTTTGTAGCGTCAGGTCAATTTCCAGGTGTTTCCATGACAGGAGAACTGGTCTGTAAATGTCCAGGATTTCCAGGATGCGAGGAGAACTCTGTCAGTGTTTTTACAACCAGGTGAGATTTAAGGTGAGCTCAGAGAAACTTTCCCCCTTTAGCAGAAAACAAACTGAACATAAATCATTGTGCACAGCAAGGCTCAAACATCTCTGAGCGAAACAAGAAGCAAAACAAGTTTCTGGCTGGAGGTTAATTAAAAATACACAGACTCAAAACAGATGAAACTTTAATGCCTTGTGCATTTTTTATCTTTATTTTTTTGGCCTGGACCACAGATCCCAGACTCTCTGAGTAAACCTGCGCTGGCTGTGGCTATAAATCCATTTGACCCAGAGGGCAGGCCAGGGGTGTGTGTGCTTTAACTTTCCAGCTTGGCTGCTAGTTCAGTTTATCTAAGCCGGGGTTTCTGTCATACGCCTCATCTCCTGCGTCTTCCCATGACACAGCAAAGTAAACACACAGCCGAGCGTCCGAGAGGCAGCGAGAGTAAAAAGACGACCCAAAAACAAAGCCGGTTAGCTCAGGTAGATCTGCTTCTTCTAACTGTGCATCATCTGTTGACACACAATACAGTATGCACAGGGACATAAACATCTGTGTGCTTTTGGTATTACTGTAAGGTAAACACAAGCCAAACCCATGTGCTCGGGGTTAAGCAAAGATTCATATTGCCTCTGTGCTTTACGGTGTGTTTACACAGAGACTCCTTGTAATATGTGCATCCGCCATCGTGTGCACCTTCGTGCACCAGCGACTTCTTGGAAACACGCAGCGTGTAGATGCTTCTTACCATGGTGAGCGTCATGCGGTCGATCTCATGTTTGTCTTTGGTCTTGTGCTGTCTGAAGGGACTGTGCCTGAACAGGAGAGAGAGAGAGAGAGAGAGATACTGACTGTGACTGGAGATTATTGAAGAAGATGAGGGAGGACGGGGGTGAGGATGAGGGGATGCAAAGGAGGAATAAAAAGCAAGAAGAAATCAGACACTTTCTCCCGATTTGCACCTTTAAAAACTCCACGTGCTTTAACATCCTTGGTTAAAACTTGAAGCTCATAAATATTACAGCGCCGTAAATTAAGAAATGGTAATTTGAAATGACCTAGATCTTCCTCACGCTAATTAGCCACCTGCATGCTCAAGTGCTGACTTGGAGCTTTAAGGGGTTTTGAGAGTGTTCTCATTCAGTGTTTGGAGGAGGGAAATTGTAGGAAATTGTTATGCAGTCCCCCAAATTCTGGATGGGGGGGATGCTCACTCAACCTGCATGTAATCGCCCTCGAATTAAAGCTGAGAGGAGGCTCTTTAACCTCAGTCATGGTTTCATTTCACATCCACTGATCTGCAGCCAAAAAAGTGTCAGTGTCCAAGACTTGGCCTCCGCAGGATGTTTTCTGTTAGCATTTACAGTAAATCATTCATCAGTCCACTTATACTTGTTTCTTATTAATATATTGTAATGTGGGAAGTATCAAGTGGCAAAACAATGCATTGCAGGGTTTGAATACCGGCCAAAATGGATCTGATACCAGGGCTGCGATCCAGCAGCACTTTGAGCGACAGTGAACTCTGTCTCAACCTCAAGATAAAAAAGCATAAGAGCTGAGAGTGATTTAGGCATTTCTGAAATGTATTTAAATGTAATTCTGAATGTTTGGATGGCCGATCCAAAAGAAAGTTTAAATAAAAAAGGATTAGGGTTAGGTAGGAAAGCAGCAGTATTAAATAACATGTTGTGTGCTGCGTACTTCTGCCTTCATCAGAGTGTGTGATGTTTTTAAGATGGCTAGGTTAAGCAAAGTGCATCCATAAAATTGTATTAGTAACAGCTTAGTTGTTTATGAGAGGGCAGATAATTGAGGCTGCGGTATCGGATAGGGTTGTCGTGGTAACAGCAATAAGAAGTGCCGTTAACTCCGGTTAATGGATAAAGAATATTTTGCTGAAGCGAAGCAGTTTGGGACCAGATTGTTGGTCTGAGTGCTGAAGCAGAGCGGCTGAACTGGACGGAGATGTACAAACACGCTGTGATCGGTGCTGCCTCTGAGGCCTGTATGTCAAGCGAGCGCATTAACGAGACACAGCAGCATCTTTCCATCCGAGATGCAAAGAGCGCCTGCACTCCACTTAGTGGAAGTGATCAAATGACAACTGGCAGCTCTAATGGGAGAGTAGCAGCTTCCAAATGCAACTCCAGTGAGTCTAATTGTTCAGCCTGAGCCAAATGACATCAAAATCAACCGCTGAAGACCGGAAGGATGATAATCGATAAATCCAAGACCGGACTCTACGGATGCAGCCAGAGAGCTCGTTTCAGGAGATGTCCACATTTAAGAAATAAAGAAAGGAAACATGGTGCTGAAACTGAAACTAAATGGGATCTTTAGACTGAAATTACTCTGCAGAGGAACGTTTACGTTGTCTGATAAAGGTTCATTTTCCACCAGAGACTCTGCACCGAAGCCCACGGAGGAGTTACAGAAATCTGAGTTTAGCAGTGGACAATATGGATAAAATCTTCAATTAAATAGCAATTACAATATATATTGTGATAAGTAAATTCAATAAAAAATAAAAACAACTGTCGGAGCAGCGAGCAGCTTAATCACTCCATCAAATGCTGAGCGGATGGATACACTGTTGTTCCACAAGAAATAGTTCCCTAACCCTAGGCTAGAAAAGAGAGAAAAAGACAATATTTAAAAGGTTATATATGAGATTTAAAACATTAATATATCAGCTGTTGTCTATGTACAGATACAGAGTCACATGGTGTCTCTCTCCTTGCTTGTTGTTGTATCCAGCCTCTCTGTGCGTTTGTTCCATAGCCGGTCTGCTCCTACTTGAAACTGCCGTTTTTATCTCTACGTCGGGATTAAGGATTTATTTCCACCAAAACCAGAGTTGGTGATTGTTGGAAACACTAACAGAGATGCTTTTAATCAGTTTTATATGTTAGTTTGGGGCGGCAGTAGCTCAGTGTGTGCCCTTGAGCAAGGCAGCCTAACCCCAAGCCTGCTCATGGGCGCTATGTTAACTGTGGAGGCCCCATCACTCCACCATCTCTCCCCTGTGCTGTCCACAGAGTACATGGAATGTGCTGTATTTCAGCTGTGGTGTATAAAAAAAAATTAAAAGAACAATTTCCCCTGTGGGATTATAAAGTACATCTTCTTCTTCTTCTTCTTTGTTTTGGTCTAGAGATGGCTGTGCTCCACTGTGCGACGTCCAGTGTGAGGAACACATTTTGTAATATTAACCTTTTCATTCTAAGGACAAACTCTAGATGGATTAATCTTTATTGCAGAAAAATAATCCTTGATTCTCGAACCCCTGCTGAAATCGTTATGTGCAATGCTAAACGCAGAGTGTAAAAAGTCATTCTGCTTGTAAGATAAGATTGTTGTAAATTGTTTTATGACAGAATCCGTAGTGTGTTACTTGCTGGAATCAAAACATTTTCACACAGAGGTTTTCAGGTGGTAAAGCAGTCCATCCCCCATCTCTGAAGCAGGCCAACCTTCATTCACAAAGACCAACAACTCCTTCCTCTGTTAAAGTGTTCAAACACACAGAGCCCAACATCAATGGAAAGACACCCCACACCCCACACACACACACACACACACACACACACACACACACACACACTTCTTTGGTTTCTTTCTGCTCGCTCCAACCCAGCAACCATCTCTCACACACTCACACACCCTTTTTACCTGATTCCTGACCTACTGGGCTCAGACCTCTGGCATTTACACACTCCAGATCAAACAAACACACACACAGCCTCGCACACAAACAAGATCAAACACACACCAAACAGACGGCGAGCGAGAGTGTGAGATTCAAAGACTCCGAGAGGCAGGAGAGGGTTTTTGAAAGCAGACGGGAAGTTGAGACATGGCGGGAGTGAAGAGAAGAAGAAGATGACGAGATAAGAGGGGAAGGAAGGCGTGAGTAGTTACCCTCGGAGGAGTTTGAAGAGCATGCAGCCTAAGGAGAACCAGTCGGCGCTGCTGTCGTACGCCGTCCCCTTCTGAAGGACCTCCGGGGCCATGTAGCCATGAGTACCCCTGCCACAAAACACACCACAGCTTCATGTCAAACACACGCTCGTTACTTGTTTACAGCTGGAGGGGAGCAGCGAGCGCCGCTCTGGAGCCCCATTCGACGGGTTGGATAATAGAGGAGAGGGTTGGGTGAAAAAATATCTCCCATCATCCCCTCGGACGACATTTTAGCTCCTGATAGAAAATACTGAGATACACAGTGACATGATGGTAGAAGGAGTAGATGAGTAAGGATTTTAATATTTAATTAAAAGTATATCTTGATGCTAATACTTTTGGTCAAGTGAAAGAACAAAGTACTTCTTCCACCACTTATCTGGTAGAAATACAGATACACAGCCGGACTCTCTGAGCGGGATTAAAACCTCTGAGCGGTGCAGGTAATATTTAAACCAGCCCACCTCCCCTAGAGGAGTAAATCCTGCAATAAGGGGCTTGAACAGAGATACTTACACGCTGGCGTGGGGTTTCTTCTTGGAGAAGTCGCAGGCCAAGCCGAGGTCGGAGATACGAACATGACCGTGCTCATCCAGCAGGATATTAGCTGGCTGAGGGAGGACACACACACATGGGCAGAGAGAGGGATAGAGAGGGTGATACTGATGATGGAGAATACGAGAGATAAGATCATAAGCATAGGAAATAATGTTGGAGACCCCACTAATTCACGACTTAAGCTACAATTTCCGCTCGGCGAGAGAAACTTCTGCCTGGACACAGATGGACTGTCCTGGTTATCCTCCGCTGTTTGGCAAAACCGACCCACTCACTCTCTTTCCCCCCTCCAAACACTCAGCCTAAAAGTATTATCTGCATTGTTCTGCACTGTTTATTGAAGCCCTAAAACTGTTCCTTGACTTCCAGCAAAATATATCTGTTATTATGGCAACCAGTCCAAACAGGGAATTGGAGGAAAAACAGAGGACAGTTGAAAACATGGCTGATATGAATCTATGGTT